TACAAAACAGTTTACATTCAGTGAAACATGTTGAGATACAATTTATAGTCTTAATCTAGAATATAGATCGAATACTTGTACATACAGCGTAAAAAAGGAAAAAGTGAGACAAAGTGGAAAAGTGAGATTACAACTTAAAACTAATGCAACTAAAGACTAACATAGATATTAATTTGTCCGTGCTAATAAGAACACGAATTGAAATATTTGAAGAGATTGGTATAAAGTCGACAAAAATTGTTGTCGAAAACATCAATGTGACCTCCAGATTCTAATATGAATAAATCATTGTACGTTCGGCACATTCTAGTCACGGGGTTATAAAAGGATGTATTATTTCGATAAACATTTAACAGAACGGTTTTAGAACGACGAAGATTTGGTTTAATGTTAAAGTTAATGTGAGATAGCAGAGTAGGAGAAACAAGGCTACTGTGTACGAGCCCATGCAAGACTACAATATCCTGTATTTTACGTTGGGTCCGTAGTGAGCAAATTTTGAACTTGGCCAACCTCTCTTGGTAAGTAGCGAAAATGCGACCCAGACCCGATCGGAATGCGACAATTTTAAGAGACTTGTTCTGTACTTGTTCTATGGGGTTGGGGTGCATTTCATAATAAGAGGACCATATAACACAGCCGTACTCAAGTAAACCTCTTATGAGACTGTTGAAGAGGTTGATAAAAGTGGAGGGTCTTTTAAAGTTTTTAGTAGCTCTTACGATAAAACCTAAGGTTTTATATGACTTGAATACGATGTAATCATAATGATCTCTAAAGGTGAGTTTTCCATCCAAGTATATGCCCAGGTCCAGATCCAGGTCCAGGTCCCTGGCTACAGATTTGCGTTGAAGCGTTTTGCCGCCGATTGCATAGTTAAAGAATACTTTTTGACGTTTGTTAGTGAAGCTCATCACAAAGCATTTGTCAACGTGAAGGTGCATAGAATTATGTTTGCACCAATCTGCTATTGAAATGGCATCTGTCTTTAACGGTTGTGAACACCTTAAGGTCGTCAGCGTATAGTAGACATGGGCATTTCAGCCTATGGATCAGGTCATTAATGAAAACATTAAAAAACAATGGTCCTAGGTGAGAACCTTGGGGTATGCCAGATTTGATTGGCTTGGGAGCCGACTTAAAACCCTTTACAACTTTACGAAATAAGACGAACTTCAGACACATGCACCATCGCTTTTCACATTACAATAAAAACTACATTACCGACACGCTATGATGGCTGAAGGTCACTCAGCGGGCAATGGAGCGAGCGATGCTCGGTATTTCCCTACGTGATAGAATCAGAAATGAGGAAATCCGTAGGAGAACTAAGGTAACCGACATAGCTCTAAGAATTGCTCAGTTGAAGCGGGGCACATAGCAAGGAGAACCGATGGCCGTTGGGGCGGAAAGGTTCTCCAATGGCGACCGCGCATCGGACGACGCTCAGTGGGTAGGCCCTCCAACAGGTGGACCGACGATCTGGTAAAGGGCGCGGGAAGCCGATGGATGCGGGCAGCGCAGGACCGATAGTCGTGGAGATCGTTGGGCGAGGCCTATGCTCAGCAGTGGACGTCATATTTTTGACTCAAATTTCCACGAGGTAGAAGTTGTGCTGGACAGCGATCTTATAAATGACGATCGTATTCAATTTCATTTTTTTAAATTTCGAATTTCGAAAAACAAATGCCGAGTTGTGTCGTAAAATTACACACTCATAAATTTGACTGCACGTCACTATTGACAACAACGTACAGCAATTAGCTCCTTCAACGTAGTCGTGAATTAATACGAAACTAGATGATGCGATGATGATGATGATGATGAGCGGACAAACGTCAAAACGGCCGTCATAGCGTGCCGGTACTATAATAAGAACAATTTGCAATATAAAACAAACCGACACATGCAAGCCTCATTTTCAGAAACACAATCACCTTATCATGCATTTTTATTTTCAAAACTTGTAAATTTGTACATAAACACTCAGAGTTCTACACTAAACGTTCAGACCTTCCTACTCACCACAATTCAAGGTGCCCAAACAAGATAATACTTCCCCGCTCCCGTCTCTAAATGCACGCAGATGGCCCATTTGTCATATCCGTTAACATATTATATAACAAATTGCCAGGCGAAGTTCAAAACATAAAGAAAGATAATAAATTTATATCAGAGCTGAAACAAATTCTTTTGTCGAAATGCTACTACACTATAGATGAATACTTAAGTCATAAATATATAACGAATTAATATATAATAAAAAATAAAATCATTACATATTTTATATTTTTATATTTTTATATTTTATTTTTTATTACTTTTTTATATTATTTGATATTTTAAATTAGATTTTAGTTATTTTGACTACAGGATTACTATCATTAATTTATAGAATTTTTACAACTTAAATAATTTTTTCTCTTTGGAAAATAAATACATCAGCGTGGCGTCCTCCTCTCTATTAAAATTGCGGTGCCCAACAGGTACCGCAATTGGTTCTCGTAGCTACCTATAAGTTTTCATGTTTGTGTTTTTACATTGTGGAATGCAATAAAATTACTGATTACCTTTACTTTACAATACGCCGAGGTTATTTAAACATTGCAAACAATGTTAGTACAGGCACTACATGGGTACTAAATAAACACAACGTACCCCATCGGGGTAGCAAATAGTTAATTAGTTCTTTCTAACAACTACCAACATAGACTTATAATAGTACTTAAAATAGACACATAATTCACAGAATGTTAGAAGGAATGAAGTGTAATGTTACATTATGGAAGAATTAAACAGTTCACTAGCTCTCATAGGAGAGTCCATCATGAAGTCTCTCACACTGTAGTAGCTCCTATTTATGAAGAGAGACTTTAATTTTGTTTTCAATATGTTGTCATTTTCTTCTTTCTTAAGTGAGTGGTATTTTGTTATAAATTAATACACATCTACAAACATTTTCTACAACTTCATAATGCCCCCATAATTATACAATATCCCCATTATCATTTTGTTAAACCATAGAGCTAGCTCGTCGCCGATAGGCCCGACTTTAAATTGTTCACATTACAGTTTGAAATGCCTAGACACACCATGATATTGCCACTTCTTTTCTTCTATTCGATTCTACCCGCGACATAATGTAATCCGACGTACGTTTGTCGCGCATCTAGTAAGCCCCAACAAGAGCATCCAATCTAAGTTATAAAAGAGCCATCGATGGAACAAATGGGAAGACAGAATTTTATAAAGCAAGTATACAAACTGTTTTCGAACGAAATTCGCTTCCACTTACTCTTTGAAATACTAAAGTGGGTAAAAGTAAGGTAAGGATTTTATACGAATGTTAAGACTTTTGTATTCCATTTATAAGGTACACAGATAAGAATAAACTTTTTACAATTGTTTGTACGCATGTATCATAAATAGGACGGTTGCTCCATAACAAAACCTAGTAAGTGCTTTAGACAAAATTTTACAGGAGAGCCCAAAAACACAAATCGAGGTCGTCCTTAAACTCTAGCCTGAAATAGTAATAGAATTAGATAGGGAACTAATCAAGTAATATATTGGTGTGAAAGAGTTCTTCCAGGATAGTACTGTCATCTTACCTATTTCTGCCGCCAACCAGTAAAGTCAGCACCACTGTGATCAGAATTTGAAGGGTAAGGCTGCTGGTAAAATTATAGGCATATGGGACTTGTTAACTTAAGTCTCAGGGTGACGGGCGCAGTGGTAGTGACCCTCAGATCTTTGCGATTTAAAGCTCTGAGGACACTGCAACTGTTATGGACAGGCGTGTGGCTTACCATCAGGTGCACGACTTGTTCGTCCCGTCATTAGGTATTATATAAAAAAAATCCAGAATCTAAACACAATATAAGCATTTTCTAGGTATTTAGTTTAGTTATTGCATTAGAAAATACGGAATAAAATTTTATTTTACTTGACTAATTAAATTAATAAAACGACTAATGTTTTCAGTATTAGTAAAGTTCCACTATCCACTAATCGCCAATTCAAATAGCTAATAAGGCACTTTAAATACTTTAAAACCTAACAAGTGTCAAATACTTGCTACGTTTTGTATTGGTTAAAGTGACTTAAAAGACCTTTGGCTGGTCACGAACCAGACTAGGTGTGCCTAACTAGGTTTTGTAATTGAATTTAAATTGTAGAATTCTGAGGCGGCTGTCACCACCATACTTACTACATAATCTCAGTACATAGTACTAAAAAAACCGACCTCAAAAGTACTTGGCATTACGTCTATTTGCTATTAATAAATTCGCCACTATACAGGACTTGACACTGGAGACTATAAAAAATCGGTTCTCACTACTCAAAGAATATTGAGAGAAAAACGCCTTGAATTGGAGAAATAGCAAATCAACCATTAAAATAATTAATCCTTAAGAAAATTTAGGCGCTATTTATAAAAATGAATCCTCATGCGTGAACAGCCCCCTTAGAGGTGGATGAGTTCCTTCAAAATGAAATGGGACCACTATGGAAGTACCCCCTTTCCAACAAAAAAGAATCATGAAAATCGGTTCACAAATACCGGAGTTATCGCGTAACATACATACAAAAAAAAACAAAAAACACATACAATCGAATTGAGAACCTCCTCCTTTTTCGAAGACGGTTAAGAAGTAAAAAAAATTTAAAAAAAATTGTACCTTACTAGGTTTTGCTCTGGAGCTGCCGAATAGGTTTAACATAAAGACCCGACTATATTGCAGACAGCGACGGAATGAGCATGGCTGTGCCGTGTTCGTTGGCTTGTCATAAATGGTAATTTATATGTCAAGTGTAAAGGAACGAGTACCGTGGACCGTATTTCTGTTAAGAACGATCTTTGAAGGCGTAGGTACGCAATCAACAGATCATTTATGTAAGTATTTTTTTCCAATTTAATGCTATGTGCATTCTTAAACAACGGGAGTAGTGATTAAAGATATAATATTGGGAGAACTTGGAACTACATTATAATTTAGAACTACATGCCAGATGGTGCGTTGAAACGGCGCGTGGCAACAGAACGCGTGCGCGTCGGACAAGAGGCCAGGAAACGAAGCGGCGGCGGCGGCGGCGGCGACGGCGGCGGGCGGTTGGTGCGTTGAATTCATAGCGTTGCGGCGATGCAACGCACCAGAAGCGCCCGTGTAGCATCGCTCTTATCGTATTAACATAATACAATACAACAAATAGTTGAACTCTGTACAAAAAAGCAGTAAGTGCGGCTGTTTCTATGAAATTAGTCATTAGCTCAAATTATTTATTATGAAAGTTTATTTTAGGCACGTTAGAAACAAAGAATTTTATATAGTTTCAAATAGAAAGAACCTGTTTTTACTACAGTCGTTCTTCAATCTCCACAATTTATATTAAGTTACATTGTACAATAATGCCATGTCCGTGTAGCCAGAATAAAAAATCAGTGTTCGTCTCGAAAGTCTCGATTTTCCCTAGATTGAATACTTTAGAATGAGTCTAGGAAATGCTACAAAATCGTCGAGACTCACGAAATTTACGACTCGGATACTCCTGGGAAAAAAGCTCTGGTGTACAGATGCCTACATACTGTGTGATGAACTCACACACAAGGACACAACGCCATTCATTGCAGAATTGCAGCGCTCGATCAGCGAATATTATTTACGTGTGCGCTACGTTTCCATAATACAAAAATATTGAGCGAATGGAGAAACGTTCTCTGAAGTTTTTGAAAAGGAGCATTAGAACGATGTCGAATTATAATAACCATATCTATTTATAAGAGTTATATATTGCGACCGTCACCCTGAGGCATAAGTTGACAAGTCCCATGCGCCTGAAATTTCACCAGCAGCCCCTCCCTTCGCAACCGGAACGGAGTAATGCTCACCAGTGGCGAGGCGTCCATATAATTCGATTCCCACTGGCTAAAATTTTCCACATAAAAATCGTACATTCCAAATTTCAAATGTAAAGTCCTTGATAATACGACGTATTGTACCCTTCCCGGTGGATCTTAACCAATGACAGCACGAATAAGCCGCCATCGTCCCGGTATTTATTTCATTCATGAAATCAATTCGCTCACATCAAAATACACGGACGCATTTGCAAAAAAACATAGCGGAATACGACCTAATAATGGCGGCCCACAACCCGAAGATTATCGGGTTATCATCGAATAGCGTTCACGTTAATTTAAATCTTATTTCCACAAAGATACGATTTATTTTTAAACACCGATGACTTTGGCGATAATCGCCAACTTACAGGAAAAAAACTTAAAGTTAATTCCTGTAAGTTGCCAGCTATGATATTAATACAACTAAACTAGAAATATGATTTTATCTGTGCTTTGATCTATGTCGTGAGTTCTATGAGTGTTTAATAATAATTAGCGGTCTAAATTTACTTTCCGCCATTTTTCGCTATGGCTGCCATACAAACTTTTTTGGCGATAGATAAAAATGTCTTCTAATTCGACTTAAAATGGCTTGGCTTCAATCGTAATTTGGGGTCAAAATTTTGTTTCCGCCGTTTTTCGATATAGCCGTAATTGTTTATGTAAATGGCTGTTGTAAAAACTGGCTTTGCTCGGTCTAAAAATTGGCACGAAAAGATGTCTAAGATTGTTTGATAATAATTAGTGGAGAAAATATATTTTCGCAATTTTGAAATATGGGCGCCATTAAAGATCTATTTAATTTTTTTTGAAACAAAGTCGTAAGTGCCGAGGCTATAGGCCGAAGTCCGAGGAGGGCGAAGCCCGAAGCGTGTGCACGTCATCGCATGGAGGTAATTTACGGAGGCGTAATGGATTACGAGTACAAGATCTCACAATTGTAAGAATGTAAGGCATACTTCCAAGGCGTTGTTGTATCTCAACCGTCTCTCTGTTAGATTCCATTTTCCAGTATTTAGTGGGACTAAATGCCAAACTACTGCCGAGTTTCCTGTAGTATAAATACCAAAACAACGATAACCCAGAATGCTCAGACCAAAACCAACTTAGAAATGTTCGTTTCTTAAATTGGCCCAAATCGGGAATCAACCTCCTCATCAAGCGCTCATAGTACTAACTGCTGTGCCACCGAAGAGCATGAGCACACCCCGTAAACTGAACCCGACCACGCACCGCAGGCCGAGCCGGACAGGACTCGTATTTAATATTTAATTTTCACACGCGAGAATAAAAGAAACATAAGATCGCGAAACGCTTGACAACTGGACATTGTTGGAGTCTGACGCCCGCGTATTTAATTATTACGATTATGAAGTTGTTGTCTTGAAATGTGTGAATGTATTGTAATTAAAATGAAAAGAATTGGGCCATAGTTTGAAATGCTGGTTAATTTCATAAAACAGTGAGTGTTGTGAGTTGGCCTTCAAATAAAAAACTTGCAACTTGCAATTAAAGACTTAAACAGTATTATAATCTCTAAATATTTTTGTGTTAAGAGGAATTTAATAAACCCACTAAAACGCTCAAGATTCTGCTAATGCTGACCCAGCAGGCGGCAATAACATTACTGAAAGGTGCAAAAAGTTAGGCATGCAACTCAAAATTATGGATATTAGGTTTTGAAGCTAATTACTTTTGGTTCGTTTATAAGTCATTAATTCACTCAATTTGACCTGTTCTTATTGGTGTTGGCGGATTGCTTTTCTATTATATAGAAGGAATTAAACATTAAATGGTTTTTTGTAGGTTTAAAATTATTTACTGGTTTTTCTAATACAAGTATGGAGTAGTTTAAAATTTAAAGTAATTTCATACCAAATCTTATATCATAAAAATAACAAATATACGCGTAAACGCATACTCTCGCAAACCAAACGTCAAGTGACAACTACAGAATTTGTTAGTTAATTCTTTCGAAGGTAAAATTTTGAACATACACTTGCAATAATAATATAATATATATTAAAAATAAAATATATATTTAAAAAGAAATAAAAATCGGTTCTCAAAGTATATTGAGAGAAAAACGCCTTGAATTGGAGAAATAGCAAAATCTGTTAAAAAAAAGGGGTTACTTCGACAACTAGAACCTGTTTGTTTGTTATGTTTTGAAATCTGTCAATAATAGAAAACCTCTAAATACCTTACAAATCTATTTATTTGTGTTTATCTAGGTTAATTAAACAAGCTTAAGCTTTCCACATCTTCTATCCACCACCAACTCCAACTGGTTATGGGCCCAGACCCGCAAGGTAATGAGTGAAATGGAGCTTACCAAAATTCAATTGACGAAACTAGAAGGCCACAATTGGGTATCATGGAAGTACCGAATGACAGCCTTGCTAAGAGGTATGGACGGGCTCATGGATATTGTGGTTGGTAAAACACAAAAGCCAGATGGAAGCGGTAATGCAGCAAAAGATTTGTACAATAAGAAACTTCGAGATTTTGTGAAGTTAGAGAGCACAACCTTACTCTTGATAATGAACAATGTGACAGATGAGACGCTTGGTAAAGTATTCAGATTGTCTACACCAAAAAAAGTTTGGGACGAACTTCATAAATTATATGAGGGACCTAATGTGGGCCGACTCTATGATCTATGTTTAGAATTCTTTAAACTTAAGAGGGATCCGTCAGATGACATGTCGACTCATATATCGAAATTAAAGAATCTGGGGCATAGTCTGAAGGAAGAGTTACTGAAACAAGAAAACGTGGAACTACCTGAAGTACTTCTAATCTGTAAAATCCTGGACACGCTGCCGGATACTTATTTTTCATTTAAATCGATCTGGCTGTTAATGTCAAAGATATCATTCTTCGAACAGTAGACAATATTACGGGCCAATTGTGTGCACACGAAAAAGCGCTCAATGCTAATGTTGTTGATGTTGCGTCAAATGAAACTGCGCATTATGTGAAGGTTAATAAAAAGGTTGCTAAGCGGAATGATCAAAAAGACCAAGAGACAAAGAAGAAGTATAAATGTTTTATTTGTAAGGATTTTGGTCATCTCAAAAAGGATTGCCAAAAGGGTGGCAACAAGGAGAAGGAAAACAAATCTGGTAGTTCTAATATGATGTTACTAACGGTGAATTCAACAGATTCTGGCACTGGAAATCCCACTAGCTTATTTGAGTCAAGGGTGACAAAATGTTCAATGAAGGTTAATGATGGTATTGTTTTAAGAGGGAAAAGCAAAGGTATGGTGGTCTGTATAAGATAAATTGCAAAGCCGTACGGCCTGCTGTTTCAATCAATTTAATTGAGCGTGGAGATAAACTTCAATTATACCATGAAAGGTTAGGACATCAAAATAAACAGCATGCCAAAAGATTGATAGAGAGAGAACCAGGAATAAAGTCGTCAGATAATGGGGAATTATGCGAAGGTTGTGTTTTTGGAAAAGCACATAGACAACCATTTGGTGTTCGCGAAAAAGCTATCAAGTCTGGTGAACGTATACACTCTGACGTTTGTGGTCCCTTTCCTGCAAGTATTTCTGGATATCGATACTTCGTATTATTCAAGGATGAGATTACACATACAGATATGTGTATTTCTTGAAAAATAAATCCGATGTATATAAAAAGCTGAAACAAATGCTGTCTGAGGTTAAAATTGCTGGACACGTTGATAAGGAGCTTTTAAGTGATAATGGGGGAAAATACAATAATAAAAGAGTACGAGATCTACTTGAACAAAGTGGAATAAATCAAAGGCTTATTACGCCTTACACGCCAGAACAGAATGGATGTAACGAAAGGGAAAACCACACTAGCTAGTCGAATCTGCTAGAGCAATGCACGCGCATGAAGAGTTGCCTCAGAATTTGTGGACTGTGATGGTAAATACTGCCGTTTGTATTCTAAACAGGACCGGGCCAACTACAGTGGAACACAAATCGCCTTATGAACTTTGGCTTAATAAGAAGCTGTACAAAACACAGGTCCGGTCTTGCGTTGAGTATTGTTCGCACTTGTGGGACGGCTCCGCCAAGTACCTACTCGATGCCTTGGATAAATTACAGCGTCGTGCTACTCGAATTATAGGCGACGAAGAGGTCTCATCACGCCTTGAACCTCTGCAACTGCGTAGAGATGTTGCATCGCTTAGCGCCTTTTACCGCATGTACCATGGTGAGTGCTCTGAGGAGCTGTT